ATGCATCACTAGGATTTTCAAATATAAACATTAGTTGTTTGATTTCTACAGTCAAAATGAGTTAAAATGAGACTGGGAGAGCTTATAGCAGCATGTCAGCAAGTATGGTGTAAGAGATGAAGTTTTCAGATACCATTCCATGATTTGAAGGCACATCTTTGGTGAGCACTTTAAACAGCATTGAAGGTGAGACTTTTTCAACCTTCCCTGATAAATCCTTACACTTTGCAAGAGTAACTAATAATCTATTAAATTCCTAGGTGCATGCACACTAGATTATAGAATGAATATCCTCTGACCATTGCCTTCAGTAATTTCTAATTAGACAAGCAAAATATACATGTTTTCAGCAACAGTCTGAGTGACAATGAACGACAGACCCACATTATAACTACTGTGTTGGGAAGCAAGAAATCCAGTTTTGAGAGCTTGCTGCAAATCTGGGAGGGGAAGATTGTCTCTCACACTTGCCAGGTGAGTACCCCAACTACCATGATATAAATGATATGTAACAGACAACAGGCAATTCTCTGGCAGAAGTTCAATTATCAGTGACCTTTCATGTACTTCCTAACCTGCCTGTGTGTGAATACACAGTGGAATTCACGGAACATGAAGTGTGCACTATCTCTCACCTGCTTAGGCCCACAGATAGACACGTAGGGCCTTGGCACAGCAACAGCAAAAGCTTTGCCCTGATTGTTTTAGGCATCTGCCAGGCAAGCAGACAGCAAAGAGGTGACACACAGATGCTGGAAGTTCCCTAAGACATCAGGCATGGCTTTAAACCTTTATGGGTTTTAGCTTTAGATGACATGAAAGGGCTTTTCTATGATCAAAGCTAACTGTACATGAGACTAGGCTAGCAGGACCTTTACAGAGGAAAACTGTGTGGATAAAAATGCTGATGATTGCAGCAATTTTGCCTATAAAATTCATAAAGTATTTAAGAAGTGCCCTGACCCATCCCTGTGTTGGGTGAAATGACTGTGTTTGAGTTTGGTTGGTTGGTAAAGGATGTTGCAAGCACTGAGAGGCAGTTTTACAACTGCAAGGTATGACTAGGCCTACGGGGAACACTGGGAACATTTATCCAACTTATACATGACAGAAGCAGCAGTAAGAACTTTTTCTGAGTGCAAAGTTTATTTTAACACATGTAACATGCATTCATTCATGAAGCATCTCAATTCAAATTCAAGGAATCCCTTTCAGGATCAAACAGACTTGTCCTGGGAGTTCAAGTACTTATTTCCTTTACAGCATCATAGCTGTATTTTACTGTGAAAACTCTGGCTCTTCCCCTCCTTTCCAAATTACTCAGTGAATTTGATCAGACAGCATGATAAACATATCAGCCCTTTCATATCAAAATATTCAATCTCAATATTTTAACACCTGCTTAAATATGTTAGGCACCAAACCTGGGTTGGATTTTTTTATTTTTACATTTTAGGCACGTGACAAGTGTATGGAAAAAAGGAATTAGTGTAGGCTCAGAGGTACTGCAGGGATAAGAAAGCATAAAACAGGAAAGAGTCATGCTACGGCTAGCATGTTGCCCATTGTAACTGCCTGGTGTAAGGCATGTTGCATTTGTTCTCCCTTTCATCTCTTGCTTTCACTGTGATATTCCATCACTTTTCTTCTGCTCTTTGCTTTAAGCTCCCTCCCCATATGTTGCCATGAATCCCTGTGATGTAAATTACACACTCCTGTTAAGATCCATGATGGTTGTTCAGCCTGGAAAGTGGTACCTCTGGGGTGAATTTCCAAAAAATGAAGCCCACTAATGACGACTGTGAGCAAGCTGGATGGATTTTAGGAGGGAGATGTTTTCTTATTAGAGATGCTAAGCTGTCTAATGAAGTAAAAAAACCCAAAATCACAATGGTGAAGAGGATGCTAAGCAATCTGGCAGTGGTGGGAGAGGCTAAATGAAGACATACAAGTGATGTGGGACTGCTTCTGCCATACAGTGCTCAAGCCCTAAGTCTCAAAATTCTGCCTGAAGTTGTACAGGCATGCCTGTATCTTCTGTTGTGTGAATCTGAGAGAATCAGTACAGTCACTGATTTCATGTTGAAAGGCCTAAAATGTCTCCACTGGAGGCAGCTGTTTGGAAACTGTTCATTTCTGTGTTGTGGCTGCTTTACATCCCCCCAGTGCAGCAAACAGGACTCTCAGTGGCACCAACAGTGGCACAGTGGAAGTGAATCACCCCCTGATGTGGCTGCAACACCTGCACTCAGCACTGAGAGCTGCTGGGGGCAGAAACCTCACTCCTGGGTGGGACACCACTGTTCTGGCAGTCTCCAGAATGGGAGCTTCCTATTTCTGCTAGGGCTTGAGCTCCCCTTTCTCTTCTTTCCTCCTTGCCTTTACCTCCCACTGCCACCACTTCATTTTTGCCCTTTGACCACTATAAACCAGAGTGTCACTGACACTGGCAGTGGGTGGCAGCAGTGACAGCAATGACCTAAGCTTTGCATGCATTGTACTGTTTGCTTGCAGTGCCATTGTACCAGTCCTGTTTCTGGCTTTCCTCCAGCTCAGGCTCTAGCTGTGCTCTGAAAACATCCCTTATTAATAAAAACTCAATGAGAAGTGTTTTTTCTTACCCCACGTAAAATTCAACTGCTTTGTGTTTCGTGATAACTTTAAATGCCAGCTGACTCAAAGGTGTTTTGCAGAACTCTCCTTCTGTGGGAAAACTCTTTGTGTCAGCTGAGGCTCAGTGTGTGCAGGACTTGCCTCTCTTACCTTTGTCCAGTGCATTGGTGCCAGAGGGAGATGATGGCAGCTGACAGGCTGAGGGATGGGTGCTGCTGCACCCATTTTTATTTCCTTTTTATTATCTGCAAGCTGGTTCTGGGACAGGGGCAAAGGTGGTTTGCTTGGGACTCTCATAACACACTCTCTTTCTGCTTTCCAGAAGGAAGAAATGCAATTGCTCCCTCTTCTTTAAATACTGTAAGAGTGTATCCATAAGTATAAGAGCTAATTCCAAGAAATACAAATATAAGCATTTCAAATCCAAAAATCATATTTTAAACTAAAATGCATTTAAGTTTTAGAATATGTGACCTAAACATATTTAAAATATCACTTGACTGTGCAGCTGCTAAAGGGAGACAGAATTTTGTTGCTTGCAATATTTTCTGACTCTGGGAAGACTCTTCTTCCCCTTAAATGTTGTTGTCATCACCCGGGATTCTCAGGAAAAAGTATCTCACATATCTGGAATGTCAGCTGGAAATTGCTTCTGCAATTTTTCATGAAAAATTTCTTGTGACATGCACTTCATAGAAAATCAAAACTCACATCTACTTTTGTCAGTGAGACAAGGATGAAACTTGCTGGAAAATGAAAATATTCTATTAAAAGTCTTCCAGGCATGCATTTAAAGCAAAGACATTTTAAGAGAAAGACAAACATATAAATTTTTTTTAAATGTTTTAAACTTTTTTCCATCAAAACCAATGTTGGAAAATAGTTTTCGTAGATCAACTCCAAACACAAAGCTATTGTCCACTGAGAAAAATTATATAATTTTGCAGGGAGTGAATGAACTTTTGAAGTGAATGAAGCTTTGATAAAGAAATTAATTGTAGTTTTTTTAATAAGACTGGTCTTATTGATACTTGTGTGTGTTCATTTTTCTTATAATTTCAAATGAATGTAAACATTTTTTTTTTAAGAGAAAGGAAAATATATCAATTTTTTTAAAATGTTTTAAATTTTTTCCATCAAAACCTATGTTTTAAAATAGTTTTGGTAGATCAACTCTAAACACAAAGCTGTTGTTCACTGAGAAAAACGATATAATTTTGCAGGGAGTGAATGAACTTTTGAAGTGAATGAAGCTTTGATAAAGAAATTAATTGTAGTTTTTTTAATAAGACTGGTCTTATTGATACTTCTCTTATTGATACTTGTGTATAATTTCAAATGAATGTAAACATTTTTTTTGCACATTCTTAAAGCTTCTACAAGACACTAGCATTTGGAACATTTGGAACAAACACAAAATAAAATGCATGGAGAAATGTGAATATGTGTTATTACATTGTTCAGTGCCATAGAACTCCAAGGAAAATGTTGAAGGAAAAAATTAAGGCATATTTGTCAATATGGAAATGAAACCTTAGTATCTCGTTACTAAATTCATTATGTTTATCAGCTTATTGCTCATATTAATTGTCAGAAAACATCAGCCTTCCCTATATGCCCAGAATCCCAGGAAGCATTTCAATATGTAATGATATTAACTACACTCTTACACATCCGTGTATGAACCACTTTAACAGGAAAGAGTTCCCTAGTAATTAACTGTGCTTAAAATTTTATTATTGTCTCTCAGTTTTCAAGAATATTTTTTAGGTAAATTATTATGTGAACCAGCTCTACTTGTACACCTGTAAAAGAAAAAAAAATTATTTCTCAAAGAACTGCACCCATCCTACATATCAACAATTTCACCCTAAGTGATCTCAAGGTGTGTTACAAATTTCAGTCATGATTCCGGCAAGGATCATATGTGGGATTCTTGCTGTGAACAGGCAGTTGTTTGTGTTATAGGGCTTCTGGAGTTCAGACCTACATGTCTAGAAACAAAGATGATGTAAAATTAAGGGGAAAACCAGCAGTAGAACCATGTTGGCAAGAGAATATTTCTGTTTTGTGTGTTTCTAAGAAGGTCTTCACTGAAGCGTTAGCCCAAACTCAGACTCCAGGATTGATCATAAACTTTCTCTTGACACAGTGAGAACCTTGCTAGTAGCAAAGTGGTGTACCCTGAAACTTCACAATGACAGGAAGGCTCATCTCTTCCTTTCTAATCTCGTTAGCTACAATTTAGTGACTGTAAAAATGACGTATGAACCAATCACCACTAAAGCATTCTAGACCCCAGAAGTAACAGACAAACTAAAACCAAGCCAAACCAGTAAAAAAATATGCATGAAAAAACCTGCAGATATAAACTGGCTTTTGTTTCCTGTATTAGAACAAAAGTTATCTATAATTCAGTTATTACAGAGCATGTCACATGAGATCACATGTTAAAGTTGAACTGCCCCAGTTAGTTGACTTACAAGTCTAATTTTCGGGAGCCAATGGCTCTGTCCTGCCCGTTCAGAACTGCCAGCCCCAGATGGGAATTCTGCCCTATGTTTCTGAAGGGCAAAGATTTGCGACACGCAGTTCAGACTGATGCCATTCCACTGCACTTTACACTTTACACGTGCACAGTCGCAGCACAGCAGTGACCCAGGGAAAAAGGTGTCCCTGCCGCTGCCCCGGGAAGGGCAGGATGCCGCTGGGGACACAAATGAGGGCACAGCTGGGGCACATCTGGGGGCACAGCTGGGGCCACATCTGTTCTGCCCTCCCGGCGTGCCCGGGCCCCGCTCTGCCGCTGCGCTGTGGCAGCCCGTCCCGTCCTTTCCCGATCATTCCAAGGTTTCCCGCTGGAGCGCAGCGCCCGGCACGGCCGGGCAGGGACACCCGCGGGGGGAACGCACCGCGCCAGGGCCGCGAAAGGAGCGGGGCAAGGTGGTGCCCCCGAGGGGCAGGGTGCGCTGGGGTCTCCGGGCCAGGCCCTCAGGCAGCGGCCAGCTCCCAGGCGGTGGCTCGGGGCAGGACGCTCCTGAGGGGAGCAAACCCTCCGAGCGCCCGGGCGTCGGAGCAGGCGGCCCGCGCCCACCGCAGCGCCGTGCCCCCGGAGCCCCGGCCGCCCCAGCGCCGCGGGAGGTGCCGGGGCCGGGCCGCTGCCCTCAGGGCGGCTCCTGCCTCCTTCCCTCCCTGCCTCCCTCGCTTCCTGCCGGCCGGGATTGGCTATGCTGCCGGCGGGCGGGCGGGACGCGCGGCGCCCCGACGGAGCGGGGAGCGCGGCCCTGGGAGCGCGGAGCCGCCGTCAGCGCGCCCGGGCTGTCCTACACCGCGATTCTCCTTTTCCCCCCTTTTTTTAAACTTTTTTTTTTTTCCCTTATCCCGCTTCCCTCTCGGGACTGGAAGCAGGATCCGCGTCCCTGGATTGCTATGCCAGCTGAACTCTCCCGGGCCGTGGGAATGCACGCCATCTCCGACCTGCACTCCTCCCTCCCCCTGCGGCTCCTCAACAAGGGGCCCGAGTACCTCCGCAGGCAGCTGGAGGCCGGCAAGCCGGGCAGGAAAAGTGCCGTGGAGAGACTGGCCGCCGATAAGGCCAAGTACGTAAAGAGCCAGCAGGTCATCGGCACCAGGCAGGATCCCGTCATCGCGCTCAGCTCAGCCTCGGAGAGCAGCAGCGAGACCTGTTCCGTGGAGAGCAGAGCAGCGAGCAGGGAGCTGGGCACGGGCGCGAAGCCCCCGGAGCCGGGCACGGCGGCGAGCTCCTGCCGAGCCCCCCTGCAGCACGGGCCCCCCATCGCCAGGCGCAGCACCAGGAGGCAGATGCGGCCGGATTCCCTGGTGATCTACCGACAGAAATGTGAGCTCGGCAGAGGTCAAAGCCAGGACAGCTCACGGGGGAATTTGGTGAGGAGGATCTTCCATGGGTCCATAAAAGAGAAGCAATTGGCTTCCCCTGCGTTGCCCAGAGTCATGGAGGACGTCGCAGCCACCGAGAGCAATGAGCCTCTCTCAGCAAAAGATGGTGACCACGAGCCCAGCGAACATGGAGCGGTGCAGACTTTCCCCGTGAGCACTGAAGGGGCAAGGGTGTGTACAACAGAGCATGAGAGACCCTCAAAACTGAGTACACCTCCTGAAGAGGTCAAGGAGGTGAAGAGGAGAGGTCTCCATCGCTCCCAGTCAGACATCAGCTCTCGCTACTCCAAGTCCTTCGCTGAGTTTGAAACATTTTTCAAGTACTGTGGCCTGGAGCAGGAGGTTATTGAGGATCTTGGGAGAGAGAACTTCTCTGTGGTGTCTGACAACGTCTCCTTCAAGATCCGCAGCATCAGCGTGGCGACATCGGAGAGCGAGTTCACAAGGCACAGCGGGGACGAGGGGCTGCTGGAGGACGAGCTCACCGAGCAGGTCCCCAGCAGCACCTCCGTGATCGAGCGCAACGCTCGGATAATCAAATGGTTGTACACGTGTAAGAAAGCCAAGGAGACCAATAAGGTGATCCAGGAACTGGCGTGATGGCTTCATTCAGCATGTGTTGGAGCCTGGCGAACTCAAGGTGTGTGCAAAGCCTCGCCCTGACAATTTGGGTTTCTTTTTCCTTTTCAGAGAGCAGTTAACTAACTTCTCATGGTTTATATTAGTCTTTTCAGGAAGGGCTGAAGGGAAATGTGTTTTGTTTACCACATGTTCCAGGTATGGCTTTTTTGCAAATCAGAGATCTGTTTTTACAAAAGACAAAATATGAACAAGTAAAGGTTTGCAACTTGCCAGGTTTAGCTCAGACCCCCCACAGGAAATTAAAGAGTCAGTGTGAGTGAAGGATGCCTGCTTTGCAAATATCTTACTTCTTTTAATTTCTGCTATATTAAATGCTAGGAAATGTATTCAACCTTTAGTTACAGTTATTTGTAACAGACTGAACAGTCTACTACTAATTAGGAGTACACTGTATTTATACTGTACTGCTGAAACTATTACTCATCAGGAGTGCACTGTATTTACATTACACTGCTACAGTTTTCCCCTTTACTTCACTCTCTCTCTTTCTCCTTACACATAGGCACCCCCAAGTATCAGAAAAGCAAAACTGAATCAGTGCCCTGCTGTCAATCTTATTTCCTCCCTGGCTTCTTGTTGGGACCCTAAAAGTTTGTACCAGGTGACCTCATAGCATTTCACAGAGTTTGGGTTTTCCTCTGCAGTGGGTTTTGCTGTGTGGTTGGTGCAGGTAGCTGGGAATGGGTTGTGCAGTTTGCATTGGTCAGAGGGGTGCTCCAATGTTTTGAGTTAAAGATAATTAACACAAAAGTGTGGATTTGGGCTTAGAAATCAATTACTTCACAGACAGAAGCATAACAAATTTAGCTCTGGTAAAAGCCAGTGTCCTGGGTTTAATAGAAGTGGTGTTTATTTTGCGTATGATCTCCTGGAAAAGAGCTATATTCATGGAGCCTGTGGTGTTGATAATCTATAAGTTTTTCTTCTTCCACTGCATAAAGCCCCTAGGATAACTACTGCAGCTTACCGTCAGGTACTTAAAAATTTCATGAGTAGGTCTTGATATGAAGGATTACATGTATATTTTCTGACAGTTCGTAATTGGTGCATGAGAAGAACATCATTTGGTGTAGATACAGCTGTTGACAGAGCATGTGGGTCCTATGAATGTGGAGAATTGTAGTGCTTGAGCCTCATTCCTATGTGGATGTGAGGCTGTCTCTACAAATTCCTTTAATCCATATAAGGCAGTTTCAAGTAAATAGATTTTTATCCATTTACTTGAAACTGGCTAAATTCCTTTAATCCATATAAGGCAATTTCAAGTTTCAAGTAAATAGATTTTTATCCATTTACTTGAAACTGGTTTTAATGATGTGAAATTGTGTTCATCTTTAGAATTAGAATTTTTCTCAATAGTCTATTTTCTTCCTGCAAGAGAAGGAAGACAGGGAGAGAGCCATTATACAATAACTTTTCAAGGCTGTGCTGATAAGCATATTCTCAGGTTGACAACTTAAAAGAAGTGTTGTTATGTAACAAATCCTTTCCCAAATAATTTTAGAGAGAAGAAAGGGCTCTCCCAAACTAATCATTTCTCCTTGCTGATCCTTCTGTGATAAAGAGCCAGGGAGATACACGAAACAAAATTAGGAAGGTGGTGGGTTTGTGAAGCTCCTTGCAGCTGCCAGCCTTGTTAAACAAGAGGATGGGAGGCAGATTCCAGCAAGCAAGAACCACACAAGAAAAACAACCAAATAGAAGCCTGTTTGCTCCTGGATGCCCCTAATGGGGTAAGGTCCAGGTCATCACCACAGAGCTGGCCCCAGAGGGAGCAGCTGGCCCTTTCCCCATCTATTTGTCAAGCCTGTCCAGTGCTGCAGCTGAGCAGGAGATGCTGGTGAGCACCCCTGGGAGCATGCAGTCTGCAGAGGAGGTGCTGCATCAGGGCAAAGGCAAGAGGGTGGGAAGTACCAGGAGCTGAACCAGTGTAACCTCACATGAGCTTGGTCAATGGCTTTTTATTTTTACCATATGAGAGAAAATTGTAGTACACAGCCTAACAAGGTGGTGAAAAGATCTCAGTGAAAAAAACATCAAGTTTATTCAAGTGATCCTATGTTCATTCTGCAGTAACTTTAATTACTCTGGTAGCAATTCCTTTGACAGCCTAGGAAAGACTATTTCAGAGGGTCCTTATTTATAAACCTAATTTTAAGAATATTAGGGCTAACTCTGAACTGTTGGATCTCATCTGTCAGGTAGTTTCTGAAAACTGAGAACATACTTATCATTTAGGCCACAGAAGTAGGAAGTTGAGAAAGGTCAGCTAAAAATACCTGTACAAGGGTCATCAAGAGTTGCCATAAGGTAAATACCACATTTACTGGACCGAATTTAAGGAGAGAGTTGTTTATTGTTACATGATTGCAAGATGAATCTAAATTTTCATTCAGTTCTACACTTTGACAGCATCAATTCTGATATCTGTGTTTTCACAGTATCCAGGTGTTTTGTTCTGTTGAGCTTGCTTATTAAAGGGCAGTGGACTGCTGTTCTCTGCTGGGAAGCAATGTGCTCTTCCTGGTATTCCCAGGCACATCCTTAGAAATTCCTGATTTTCTACAGAAGCTTGAAAATTGTTGCATCTTCTTTGGACAATGAGGCAGAAACCTCATTTCTGAAATCCCGGCATTCGTTATGTCTAAAACACCTTTCAAGAACTCCAGAGCTTTTATGGGCCAGTGATCATTCCATTCATATTTTATGTTCTCTGTTTTAATTTTTCATGAGCTTTCTGGGACCTGGTGGAACACTGTGTAAATAAAAGAGCTGGTTGAAGGATCAGGTTCTTTAGTATGTTTTATCAGAGAGATGATTGCAGAGTGTGGGTTGTGAGCTTCAGAAAACTGAGGTCCTTAGCAAGATGGTCACTGCTGTTTCTTGGTAGAAAGCTGCCTGAGTTGACCTCTGCAGTCCAGTTCCTCTCACTGTCAGTTCTGCTTGATTCTAGGAAGAGGGGTCACTCTGCATCCTCCTTCCTGAGCTGAATCAAGATTATTCAGCCTTGAGTTTCTCATCGTTCTTAAATGGGTAACCATTATTCAAGTGGAAATCTCCAGGGAGGATAATTTACTGTGTTGGCAGTAGCCACAGGCAGCTGAATTAAAGCTTTAGAGTATCACCTTAAGCTTGTCTGATGTGATAAATAACAAATGACACTGTTTTTCTTCTTTCTTCAGAACTGTTGGCTTGGAAGTAGAACAAAACCAGACGTAGGAAGAGACTTACCTCATCTGGCTTATGTGTACTTTGTCCAAGTTTAGTATTTTGTTGTTGTTTCCTACCTTCGTCCCCATCCTCTGGAAGCCTCACTCTTCTCAAGCCCAAGGGTGTCCAAGACTGCAGTGAAAAGTGGAGATTGTGAACTGTGCCTCAGCAAGACAGCAGGAAACAAAATCACCTGGAAAATGGAAGTATGGCAGCAGCTGCCATCCACAATAATATTCAACATCATCTCACTGCCTCAGGATGTCATTCCAGGCTGTGACAGAAGGTCTGTTTTGTGCACCCATCTCTTTCCAGCAATGAATTTGTCAACAGGGCTGGGAGGAGAAGGTGGGAATGAAGTGGCAGTGACCTCTGGGTCAGATGTTTCCTTGCAGACAGACTCCACCTGGATGTCCAAAGGCTCTGCCTTACCAGGGCTGTTTGATTAGAGCTCATCCCGACATCATTCACCATCATTTGCTTGGCTGGTGAGAACTAACTGTGGCAGCCTTATCTGAGATACTTGGCAAATATGTAAGCTAAATCCCTGCCAAACCTCTCTTTCTCTGACAGCATGCAAGCCAAATTGGTGTACCTTACATCCATCTAGTTTTCTCTTGCTAGTTTGTCACACAGCTTGCTCAGCCATTGGGAAAGAATAGCGCCAAATACTTCCAGGAGCATGGTTCCAGGAAACAGGTATTGAGGGAGGTTTTGCATTGTTTCTGCCTTGCAGAACAGTACAATTTGTGATGTGTGCCTGAGTCTGACATGGCAAACATTGCAAGGTTTGGTGTAAGACCTTTAGTTTTAGGCAGTGAGGGAGCAGGCTGTTACAGAATGGCATTAGGGAGCTGTGCCAGGCTGTGTTAAGCCGCACTTCCCCAGTGTGGGTCTGCAGCAGGGCAGTGCAAGGCATCACTGTGCTGCAGGGTAAGAAGGCATGTTAGGGCTCAGACAGGCCAGGGAATGTCCTGTGTAGACAACACCTCACTCAATATCATCAGCAAAATGCTTCATTTGGGCTGGCTGAGATAAACTTGTTTTAAAAGGTGATACTTGGATCACTAGTGTAGTGAATGAGGCCTCTGCAGTAACTCATGGAATTTGTTGGCTATGCCTCAAACACCCCAATTTATCATTGCTTGCTAGAAAATCAAAGTCTTTCTATATGGACATTGCAAACCACAAAACAATTGAAAAAAAAAAAGGCCAAAGCCACTTTCCCTTTCATTTGCAGTGATACCCATCTGTAAAAGCTGCCTGACTGGCACAATGTTGACTTCAGCTGTTGGTCCTGCAGAGGTTAAAAGCCTACCTTGTGTTACCATGCTTGTGGAAGAGTTGCCCTTGAAGAGCTCATTGACATCAGCTAAATATCATCTGGGTTGCACTTCCATGGGTTTTAAATGTGCTTGTCAGTCCTTGGATGGTTAGTGCTCAGTTACAGCACCAGTCTGGAAATGCAATGTCTTCTGTTTCTAGTGTTGGTACCAAGGCCTACGTGTCTGAAGTTCTTAAGATAACTAGATAACGATTCCAGATAAAATAATTATTGAACCCACTTTTCAAATGGGAGAAAACTAAGTAGTTTGTGTGAGCTCCTTCAAACTTAGAGAAAAGGTAGCATACGTGGGTATTTTCTTATATAATGAAATCTCCATATATATTTGTTACGTTATTATAAAAGGATGATTCTCAGAAAACTTCAAGATGCTGCTAATATGATAAGATTTATACACTGAAGGTACAGGTTTGTAAGGATCACAGTCTCTAGGTTTATTAGTCAGGAACATAATCTGATGTATGATGTATGATAATCTGTTCTGTTCATGCTCCCAGCAAGATGCTGTACCACATATATATTTGTATATCAGAGCTAAGGGATGCTTTTCTTCAAAAACATGGATTACTGTAGATAGCTCAGGGTGCAGGAAAAATCTTTTGAGTTACAATCCAGTGCCGTGCCACAGGAGAAGAGAATTAATTTGTTTTGTTTCAAAGGAAAATTCTTGTTTCATTTTCAAACTTCTATTTGTCTCCTCCAAGTCAGTTGAGCAGCTTTCAAGAGTTAAGATGAAAGATGTATTACTCATGAATTTTCAGTATTAGGAAGGAATATGTTTCATTTGCTTGAAAATACTGAACATTAGCCTTTCTGAAAATTGATAAGGGTTTTATGGCAGAGGTTAGTGAAATCCCAACTGGACCCGTTCTGAATACTTTTTTAGTCCCTCTTTTTGTCTTTGTGGATAGTTCAGTAGGGTTCAGGTGACTTTCCACACTGATGTGGCATTTCTTTGGCTTTGTTCAAACTCTGTAGGAATCCCAAGCACTCCCATTAATTTCAGAGGTGATGTGGATGTGTCTAAGATCTTTGCCTGTTAAGCTGTAGATTCCCTTTATTTAATAATGCCTTGTGGGGAAGCTAATAATTTACATTTCCTATATGTCAGAACAAAAATAGATTACAATCTTCTTTCCCCATACGTTTTGGGAATGGCTAATTCAGTGTTTTTTCCAAATGATGAGAGCTGTGGTGTTCATTCTGCTCCTGTTACTGTTACATGTAAAGGGTTCTCCTTTCTTCTGCTGGATCTTTCAGTCATATCCTTCAAAACAAGAAGAACTTGCTAATGTTAGCCACTACCTATCTTTTTCTCAAAAAAAACCCCAACATTTTTTGGTTTATTTTGGGGTTTTTTTTACTATTTGGGATGGGTGGAATTTTCCAACGTTGGTGTTAAACTGTGGAAAAGTGGGCTGTTGCAGTTTGAACAGAAGTTTTAGCAATGGAGCTGGTTTTCCATTAGTCTAGGGAGCCTAAAATGGTGGCTGATGACAAATGCTAGTCATAAATTGAATTGTTTTGTTTGACTAGAACTATGTAAACAAAACAGTCAGATGGGGTGCAAGTGTACAGAGCAAATTGCTGTTTACACCCCAGTGTTTCATGGTTCTCCAGTGCTGTGACAAAGGGCAATGTCCACAGCTGTCGCATAACAGGAGAAAGATACAAAGTCTGGGCTTTATGGTCTGGAATATGGAGATAAGACTGAAATATTTGAAATATATTGTAAATATTACTGTACAGAAATCTATAAGAAATACAGAATTTTCTATATATATATTACTTTTCTAATGGATATAGGTCTACACGTTTTATGAAATCGGCCAAGCATTACATTGGTGGGGATTAAGCAGAAACTTTCTTCTGGAGCAGGTTGTCCTGCCATTGCCTCCTGTGAAGTTTCTTGCATCTGCTTTTGAATCCTTTGAAATGGAATACTAGTCGGATCTGATACGGATATTTCACCATTGTTATGCTTATATTCCTGTGAAAAAACTTGATGCTGTTGAATGCATACAAATAAAACTACCACTCTGAGAGGTAATGTTTGGTTTTTTAAAAGTATACTTTTATTTTGCTGTCTCCATTAAAGTGCTATTTTTTTAAAGCTGGAATCCCATTAGGGAATTGATTTCTCTGTGAGTGAGGCTGATACTCGACTGTGAACATCTCAAAGTGCAGTCCCTGAGCCATGCCCGGACCCCTGGCTGAGAGCTCAGGCACGGAATCTCTCAAGGAGCTGGCACAATAACTAGTAGCTCTCAATATCAGTAAATTTTGATTACATGAGGGTAAGGCTGTTCTACAACATTCCAATATTTTTTATTTCAGAATATGGCTGAAAAGATAGAGTTTATTTCTAAAGGGTACTATTTTTTCCAAATTTAGTATTCTGTTTGGTCTTGCTCACTGTCAAAAGCTACGATGTGCTGCAGGCAACACCACACTCATCTCAGCCAGTGTCCAAAGTGAGAGAGAGTTTCAAGTTTTGCTTGGAAAGTATATTATCTCCAGAATCGTATAAAAAACTGTTGTTTGACTGTTCTTTCCTTAGAAATAATTCAGAATATTATGCTAAAGCTCTATTTATTTTGTGCAGAAAGGAGCAAAAATAATGGTTGCATACAGTGAGCTTTTACAGGAAACCAAAGCACTCCAGTTTCATAGTTACAAGTTTGGTATGGTCTAATCTGCTCAGACTCAAGTTTCACCAGCCAGCATTTGAAGACAGTTTGAGGTAGAGGTAAAGGATGCCTGCTGTGCAAATTGGGATCTTCCACAAAAACCCAAGAGCAACTTTATTGTCACTGACATGTACCTTCCTCTCACAAATCCTGCGTGACCGATGTCAGTGCAAGGTATGAAGCAAGTCTGGAAAGGGTGAAATACATGCATCCCCCTTTCTATGGAGGTTAATCTCCCACAGCAAGCCTTTGCTCATCTCACTGCCTTACAGAGGACAGAGCAATTGTAGTCTGAGAATGACCTTGGGCTACAGCCCAGCTTGCCATTTAGAAACATTGCTCTTAAGTAATTTTTCAGGTAACACCTTAATCACATATTTTATGAAGTCCAGTGGATTTCTTCCAGAAGTAAGGTTTGGCCAGCTCCTGCTCTCAGACTGTCTGGTGCAAGCAACCTGTAAAAGTCACAGCTTACCCATCCACTGCTTTGCTTCTGATTTGTCTCTGAGTAGTAAATTGGTGTTGGAAAGAACCCAGAAAAAATATCTTTTCAGATGTATTGTAGATGTAGAGGCATTCTGAACACACCACTGCAAAAGCACTTAGTATCTCCAAGAGCTTTTGGTGAAGAAAAGGTATGCTATGTAACAGCAGGCAAATAAACAAATGCAGGACTTGGCTTTACTCTGCAAAGAGATGCCTTCAAATTTTGAGGACATTTTTTGATTGGGCCATATTTATCCTGGTTTTATCCTGTGATACTGAATGAGGACTATGTCAATTCACTTAAGTACAATGTTGTAGAGAGAGGTGGTAGATGCCCCATCCTTGGAAATAAAGTGAACTTAGAAAGGACTGCTGAGCTCATTTGCAGGCAATGATGTAACAGCAGTCTGTCAAGACCTCCATGACAAAAGGTGTTGAGAATTTTGTTCAATTATACTTGCCAATAAAATTTGTGATATAGCAGAAAAACAATATCATAAGAAAAAACCCCTTCCAGATCGAAGTCAGCTACATATATCTGTCTCCAGGAATCAATGTAGTTACTGAAAGAATACAAAATCCTGTAAAATTAGCTTGCACACTTGTACTAGACTTGAGTTGCCTCAGCAGTTATGATTAAAAATATCTAAGAGCTGTGATTGTCTGGGTTTCAAAGTTTGCCTCAATCATCAAGAGCTCAACAGGAGTACTAATTTTTGGTTTTTTCAGAGGCAGTAACAGGAACCAGCGGGTAGCAATCATCAACACAAAGCCACTTGATTATTAGTCAGTTATTGATCAGCATTAGAGCACTGAAGCAACAAGCACCAAGACATGGAGCCACACACAGAGGCAGGCACAGCTGAGCACATGAAGGGGAGTGTTTCTCCTGTTCCTTCCTTTTAGCCCAAGCTCTTCTTGCATCACTGTTTTTCTCTTTGGTGACCAGGAAGTCTTAACCACTTCCGCAGTTATTCATCGCTCTGAGTTGCTCATCTCACGCCCTCTCTGCCAATCCCTTTCCATGTTTACATTTCCAATGAACTCATTCATGTGCCAGTCATTACGCACGGCACTGCTCTATTTGTCCTCATTCCTGTAATCTTTTTTTTCTGAATAGTGCTTTCAGTTAGGTTTTACACCCTTCTGCTCAATCTTTCTGTTTCTGCCCTAAGGAAACTAAGAACTAGTCATGCAAAAAGTCAAAAAATGAATGTGCTTTGTTGTTAAGGAGAAGCTTACAAGATCTGAGACCAACGTCCTAGTCTTTTTTCATCTATGTAGTTCTTCCTGCATAGCTTAGCAATAATTTTTCATTGTTTTCTTCTTTGATACCTTTTTGTAACATCATCTTTGGCTTGGTTTGTCTCTTGTAGAGGATATTTTTCAGAGCAATGGTGACACTTTGTCTTCAAAGAGCTCTGAGCACAGCTATTGCAAAATCAAATTCCAAATCACAAGACTTTTCATGGTGTACTATAGTTTAAACCTTCTAGGAAGTTTGGTGGGGCCAAGTAAGAACATTAGGACAGTGAAAGTCAATTGGGTAAGCTTTGCAGTAGCAGGACTGAAAAAGAAAGCCTGAAGCAGCTCTGTGTGGAACCCAGGACAGCAAGCTATCCCTTGAAATTGTTGGAAAGATACAGTTTGCCACTCATTTCTTGGGAATGTGTCTTCACTCAACATTTATTTCCTGCAGGAAAGTAAATTTAGCAAGAACTTTATCACATGCAAGAGTCAACCAGCATCAAACAGAGTCTTTTGGGCTCACCTGCAAACACAAGCTGAGGTGATTCTCCAGGCATCTATTGGGTTTAAGAAGAGCATCTGCACAGCTGCCTCCATCTGCTCTGACAACAATGAGAATAGGATTCCATCATAAAAAAGGATTAAATTCCTTGATGTCAATTACTGTAAAGAAGCTGAAAATTGTGTAACTTCTGAGAATAGACCTTCAATGTAACATTTAAAGACAGACTAATTGTCTGGAAGCTCCAATTTTCTGAAATTTTCAGATATTTAGATTCTATAATTTTATTACCCTACAGTTAGTAGAAAGACCATCTTATTCCTGCAGAGTTTGAGACATTCATAGATAATCTTACATTGCTCTAAAACAATTGCAGAAACAAAGTGGTAGGATGGTAAGAGGACTTCTCTGCCCACTGATCATAGAACATAGAATATCTGAGTTGGAAGGGACCCACGAGGATCATCAAATCCAACTCCTGGCCCTGCCCAGGACAATCCCAAGAATCACACCATGTGCCTGAGAGTTTTATCATGCACTATCCGAGAGGATGATTTTCTTCCATAGGCACTTTGTCTAACATCCCCATTTACCTATGCTTGAACTCAAACTGACAAATAAATTCCCCTGGTCTTCAAATATTTACAACATAAAGCAGCATGGTTTGTATTATGTTAGCATCTTGCTTTACCTGAGGACTGAGACCAATATTAACAACAGTCCTCATGTGTAAAATGTTTGTACAAAAGCAGGAGTACATAAAAAATCTCAAGTCTGCTCATTACATCACACTACATAGGGATAATCTGTAAGATTTTTTACGGTAAAAATGAATAAAATGCAATAAAAAATCATGCCCTGCAAAATGCACGTAAACAAGGAAAACTGATTGGGAGGAATGTTTAACTCCCAAAGTTGCACAATCTGATGTATTTTTGTCTTTCTTCAGAGTAACCAAAAGAAGTATTTACATGCTATCTAATGGTTCGGCAGAGCTGGCAACATCTAGTAAAGTTGCAGTAAATTGTGCAAGAGGTATTTCATCACAAAACAGAACACAGATTCTACCTGCAGTTGGGAGGGACAGGAAACTGTTGTTTTAATCAGAAGCATGAATTTAAATCTATTTGCATTACTTTAACTGTAAAATAAAATTGATTCAGAAGTGTTGGAAATGTCCATGTGCTCAATTGTCCTTCAGTGGTCCTCCCTCTGCTTAGTTCGTGTCAGCTTGCCACAGGGCTCAGCTGAACAGAAACGACTGAGAAGATCTGGAGCTCTGAAACACTCCTTTAGCTGAGATGTGGCCATGGAATGAGATCTGGCTCTCAAGTGCAGTGGAGCTAGTTGCCCTCCACCAGCTGCAAGTCCAGCCTGCAAGGTGCTGAGGGGCACGAGGGCAGACCCTGGCCACCACCAGCCTCCCCTTGGTGCTGCAGCACACTGGGTTCTTCTCAAGCTTTTGCCCACATGGCAGGAGCTGGTGCAGGAGTGGGGACTGGTGGGAAGGAGGCCTGCTAGGAAGAAAGGTGGTTGACCTGGACTCTGAAAGTGCTCTCCAGGGATCATCCTCTCAACTATATCTGTTCCAGCTTCAGGGCCCTTGCCTACTGTGTAAATAGAATATGTGCTAGTAAGTTAAAGGAAGAGAGCAGGGTTTCTTTTCATCTAAATTAATGTTCTGTCACTTAAAAAAAAATAAATCTGTATTTCTCTCTCTAAATAGATCACAAATACTTTATTCCAGTTTAAGCCCAGCTTAAAATTATTTTGCTCATTCCTAAATTAAAACAAACACTGACCAAGGACTCCTGTATTTGTTCTCTGTTAATTTTACTCAACATTCTTCTACACAGATATCTTTTCAAGGTATATATAGGTATATTTCTTTTGAAATAAATACTTTTCATAGTTCTATAAACACAGTTATGATCCAGATTGAAGCCATCCAAACATTTAAGATTCTTCGGGTACTGAATGGGAACAAGAAAGAGAAGGACACCAATTTTACACTATGCATTTTGCTACAAGCCTGGGTTTTCATCCAGATTCACAGTTCAGTGGAGGAGGCAGGAGAGTCACAAGGAACTTATCCTACAAAATTTGTGGTATCCATGACTCTGGTCGTGGATAAGTGCCATGCTTTGCTGTAGATGTATACATGTAGCATGGTAACATCCTGGGAATGACTGCAAAGCATAAGCATTGCCCAGTACAAATATTTCCAATATCAAGAACCCTCCAATGTCCATTTCCTGCAGCCTTCCCAGCCTTTCCTAGTGCTTCTGTTCATTGTGACTAACCTCAAACACAACGATGTTTTCTGCACAGTCACGATCACACCTTTGCCACCATGATCAAGGATGAAATGTAAAGCAAAGACAAAAAAATCCATCTAAGCAGGAAGTAATCGTGGGTGGTTCTGAGTGAAATCAAATAGGATGGTGCAATGGAAACACAAAATAGTCAAACATAAACGGATGTGTTTCCTAGGAAGAATCGTGCCACATAGCAACAAATCCATCAGAAGTATGAGAAAAGCCAGTGTAGCTAAAAAAGAAGGTGAAAATTAAATCACTTCAAGGAGGATTCTTAAGACATGAGGAAAAAAGTGAACTAGAAAGCTCCCAGACTGTAAAAAGAAAATGTAGCTGTGATGATGGTGTTTTCCATTGTGTGGAGGAGGCAAGAAAAATTCATCAGAAATAAAGTGAAAGATAAGTCAACTATTTGACTTCCTTATTAACAATTGGGTTGGATCCACTATGCTGTTTGAGTCAGGTGAGCTTCTAAGGTAAAAGTAAGCTGATGTAAGAATAATTTTAATGAAGTCGTAGATTTTGGCTTTATAAAATGTTCTGCTTTTCAGGCTTAAGGTTCTCACAGTATTTAATTGAGTAATAATCAATTATTGGTAGTAGTTACAGCTAGAAAGAGCCACGTGATATTTCAGCCAAGTGGAGGGGGTGCTAAGATACTGGGTCTTAGCTTGAGCTGTTTGAAGTGGTGTAATGTTTCAAAAGAACTCACAACCTTTCCAAATCATAATTCTCTTTATCAGAAGTATCTCAGAGCCAGTTTTGCAAACAGATGCTGGTACCAAGGGTTCAGCCACACGACTCGGCTCTGGCAGCCGAACCTGCCAGCACTTGTCCTGTGAGCTGCTGTGACTGTCCAGGTGTGTGCTCCTGGCTGGCTCCAAACGGGAGGTGATGCAGCCTGTGGCTATTTTACAGCTGAGGCAGTTGCTGTGTTCTAAGGGCAGGCTAACAAACAGTGCCCAGCAGCCCAGTACATCTCACCTGACTGCCTACCTGCAGCCAGTGAGTCATCCTGTCTTCAGATGGACCTGGAATGAATCACTTCTGCAGCTGCCTACAGCTCACTGCTGACTGCTGGGGGAGAACGGGGACTGATTTAGACTACTAACCTTTGCCCAGTTAAACTTAGACAAGGGCAATCCCACCCTCATCTGGTGTTCATAAACTGTACCGTTGTGAAAGTGTTTGTGTGAAGTCATAAAGTCTACTGAGATTTTTAGAGAGGGCCTGTCACTTTTTTTTTTTTTTTTTTTTTTCCTTTTTTGAGGTAAAACATTTTGGTCACTGTTTTGGACTACTGTTTCTGAAAATCCCCACCCAGGTGTGGCTGGAAGAGCTTCAGCTTGGTAAACTCCAAATCTGTCAAATCTGAGGGGCCCTGGAAGAAATGCTGCAGAGCCAACTTGGTCATTGGCAGAAAGTCCTAATAGGGCAAAGAATGTTGGGTGCCTCCAGGCTAGGTGGGCTCAAATGTGACACCACAGTGGTACCCTAACATCGAGAGGGAGAGCAAAAGTTGTCCTTACTTATCTAGAAATAGGCAAGTTAGTTAAGGATAAACTCAATGTCTGGCATATTAATTAACTTCTGTGGATTGTGGCTGTCTAGAACAATAGTCTACTCCCTTAAATCTCTTTTTTGAAGGCTATTTCAATCTCACAACCAGCAGGTTAAAGTGATGCCAACTGAGACATGGTGAGATTTGATTTATCCTTATGATAGAGAGCAACACCTAAGGCAAATCTGAAAAATCAAGTGATGGTATTCTATTCCAGAAAAAGCTGTGTCTTTAGCCAAAAAAGCTGGAAAGGCAGGGAAAACAAAGACAAGGATTGATATAACGGTCTTTGTTTTATTTTCAGAATGGAAGAGAAAAGACCAGTTTGTCAAAACAATAGCAGAGGTACTGAAAATCAGTGGAGGATGGAGATGTGAGTCAGTGGCATACATAAATCTAGATATCTAAATGGTAGCTGGTCAAAAAAATACCAACAAAAATATTTTCATAATGAAATTGGTCTTCATGAAATGGAATTCATGTTTTTCAGAGAAGTATTGAATGAATATTCTCACCCCCACCTCTACCCCCCCCAAAAAAAATGTAGGCACAAATGAAAGTAGAAATTCTGAAAGAATTGGTCTTTAATGGAGTTCATGTTTTTCAGAGAAGTATTGAACGAATATTCTCACCCCCACCCCCACCTCTACCCCCCCCAAAAAAAATGTAGGCACCAATGAAAGTAGAAATTCTGAAAATTAATATATTTTTGCCAGGCAGAACAGTCAAAGTCAAAGCAAAACATCACATACACAGTAGAAGAAGCAGTGTGCTCAGAGCACCTGGTGTATTCAGAAATAGGCTCATTTTGGGTGCTGGGTTCTTTTTGGGCCTGAGGTAGATCATGGAAAAGTTGAATACAGTTAATTAATAATTGTTCAGCTGAACTGTATTGTTGTTGTTGTTCAGGTGGTGATGGTGGGAAAGGCCAAAACTACTGACAAGAGTTTTAGAGAGCTCTCATTATACCATTAATGCAAAACTCTTTACTAACTAGTACACTGCTGGGTCTAGGAACCAGACTCCCTTAATCTTAAAATTTCAATATGTACATATATGTTCTCAAGTATATTAATATCAAAGAAGAATATTCATTAGTATTCCAGTCAGACAAACATGTTCCAGGCCATTAGAATGCAATATAAAAAGTCATTACTTTTCTTCCAGATAAAGTGCAATGCACTGAAAAGGAAGTTTTTATTTGAACTCTAAACTTGGATGATTTCTTAATATGTGAATGTACAACTACTGAAGCTGTTAATGTGTAACTAACTGAAAGATTTTTGGAACAATACCTTGAGTCTCTGCAGTTTTCTCAGTTGTGTTACTGTCAGCAATTTGTGATTTCTGTGTGCTGTGATAAAATATTTTGCTTATAACAAATATAGTTGTGTCAGAGAGAAAATTAAAGGCAATTTCCCTTCTAGCTATCTTTTTCCTTTTTCTAAAGGTCTATGTACCCTCTCTAAATATTGCTTTACCACTTATATTATGAAAAGCAAACCTGTTGTGAAACACACTTAAATTATCCAGGATGTCTTGGAACACCCATTTCAGATTATTTCACAATGATATTTTTATTTTTGTGTGGAAAACTGAAGCTAAAAGAAATGAAAATTCCATAAAATTGAGAAAATGCTTCCTGATGCTAAAGGGAATTTCTTTTCTCTTGGAAAGAGAACTATAGAGGGAGGGAGGGAGGGAGGGAGGAAGGAAGGAAGGATCACAGGCAATATCAGGTTGAAATAAAAATATCTAGGAAATAGAAATCAATAAAATATTTTAAAACAAAGCCTGTTTGTAGCTCAGCTATCCTTCCTAAGACATTACACTCTTCTTAGAATCTTGTTTACATGCTTTCTATAATCTGTTTAGAAGTAATTATTTTACACTTTGCTCCTAAATTTGTCCCCCTCCTATCTAGCCCTTTGATTTTTCATTCTACTTATGAAAATAAGGCTGCTTGCAAGGTTACACGACACTTCCCAGGGCATTCACTAGGTGCACCTGAAAGTCATGTCCTGTTGTTTGCCTGAGGTATTGGCTGCTCCTCCCATGAAGGGGCAGAGATTGCATTTGTTTGCAGATGAAATCTATATTATTGATTTCTAGCCATCAAGGCTCAGGCAGCTGCTGTTTTCTGAAACCCTAAGGCAAACAATGAATGTAGCACCAGAGAGACACCAGACAATTTTTCTTGCTTCTGCCATTTTCTTGCTCTAGCTTTATGTCTTTTATCCTGACTTTCTGCTTTGGAGACATGCCTAAATCATATTTCTAATAAATATG